AAAGTAAAATGCAGTCACTTAACCCATGGAAGGATCATTTCTGAAGCAGATCCTTTACATCAATGCATTCTCGGATGCAATCGTCTCTATCAACACTTGCTTAGAGACAATAACATCACGGGGGCTCGTAGTAACTGGGATTGAATTGTTATAGCGTGCTCAAGTATGAAATGCATCCAGTGAGAGATGATTTATTGTTGTGCTGTGATTCATTCGTTCCACCACTGAGTGCTCTAATTCCCCAGGACCCTTCATGTTTCAAACGGTGAGGATCCTCAACTACAAAAAAACGCTGCCAAGAGCCGAATCCAAAATGTGGTATGTTAACATATGCAAGTGCCGATCATCTATAGGACCCACGCTCCGGAGACAAAGGCGGAGAGCAATCCGTCGAGTTGGCTGCAGTGGCTGGGAATTGAAATGAGTCATATTGACATAATGGCAAAACGCGCTGTGATGTGGTTGTAAAATTGGATGAAGCAATTCTTGCATTTTTTTTAAAAACACGTCGTCAACCTTCGAGCAAAAAAGAAAAAAACAAAAAAATGAGGTGAATGTGACAATAACAAAAGTGTGTTTGCAAGCGTCAAGCTGTAGTCATTTTCAGGTTAATAGTTTAATCTTTAAAAGCAAAAGCTCAAGTGTTATTATGGCTCGAGTACTTCAGAGTGTCTCTCTTTAATCTCTGACACTGAACCAAAATGAAGGCATCATGTGACATATACAGTCATGAGCCAAAGTGTTCCAACCACCCCTGTGGGAACTTAGCATGACGCCAGAACAGCCCTGACCTGCTGAGACATGGACTCTACAAGACCTCTGATGTTGCCCTGTGGTATCTGGCACCGAAGAATTAACCACAGATTCTCCAAGTCCTGTTAGTTGGATGGCTATTATAAATTGGCTCCTGTCAGTGTCACTCAAAGTCTTTACAATCGCCTGTTTTTCTTTCCCGCCTCACATCCGATACATTGAGAACCAACTGTGCTGTTTATGTTGAATCCATCCCCGGCCTTGACATGCGCCATTGTTACAAGATAACCAACATTGTTCATCTGTGAATACTTCTGCCTCAGTGTATGTAATCCAGAGGCATTGTGAAGCAGCTTCTCCTATCTATAGATTCCCTTTTAGTTTATATGAAGCATCGTCTGGACGGAGCCCTGGGCACATTACTGTGACTCCACTCAACAGAACTCACAGTATATGCTAATACGGGACTATAAATCATTCTAATTTGATAGTCCCATGTGGTCAATTTTGATGCATTGCTATGCACTTTAGAACACTGCATTAAACTAAACATGTGAGACACACACACACACACACACACATACACACAGTATCCAATAACCTAATCCTCCCAAGCCTTAAAAGCAGGCCCTTCCCCCTGTTAAAAGCCACTGTATGTTGCTGTATAGAGCTGACTAATGAGCCAGTCAAGAGAAAACGCCCTTTACCTACAAGGTTAATAAGTTATTACTATATAATCAAGCATGTGCAACTCTGCACACTGTTCAGTCTATTTCCTCAACTCAATTGTTGCAAAAACAGACAGCAAACAGCTTGTGACAAATTAGTGGCTTTCCATTCAGTTTTTTGTATTTTGGGGCATTTAATATTATGTCTTCAGAGGAGATTTGCCAACCTGGGAAGTGTAAATGCATCAATACCTTTGTATAATCAAATGGGCAAATGTACCCACTAAGATTTTCTGAGTGAATAACTTTCATTGTTTGTCAACTTCATGTCCTGTTAGCGTCTGTATCTTGGCTCCACATGGAAAATAATTGCAAGAGGATTTGGGAAAATCTAAATGTGAGACTTCACAAAAGATACAAAGAGATCACAGACCTATTAAAAATCAGTCAAAACACAGTTGCAGCAGGAATCATGAGTTCTAGAATCAACCATCCATCCATTATCTATACACCGCTTAATCCTCACTGGGGTCGCGGGGGGCTGGAGTCTATCCCAGCTGACTCAGGGTGAAGGCAGGAGACACCTGGACAGGTCACCAGTCTATCACAGGGCTACACTTAGAGACAGACAACCAAGCACACTCACATTCACACCTACGGACAATTTACCGGCAACCTTCTTGCTGCGAGGCAACAGTGCTACCAACTGCGCCACCTTGCAGCCCTAGAATCAACCAGCATACTATTAATCAGGGTCGTCGTCCTGAGCTGCCACCACTGACACTGTGCTAATTCTGAAAAACAGACTGCTTCAGGCGCAGGGGTTATCAGCAGAAATCAGAGATTCTGTGACAGCTCAGACAGTGCGAAGGACAGTTCATGTTAACCTTCTATGGATGGCGTCCAAGACGAATACCCTTGCTTGCTGCTCGGTACGAAACTGCAAGATTAAACTTTGCTAAGAAACATAAAAGAGTCCTAATGAATATTGCGAGCATGTCTTTAAGTCAAATGAGGCCGAGATAAATTAGTTCCGCTCAAATGGAGTCCAGCATGTGTGGCATCGACCAGGACTATCACAGTGCGTGCACAGTCCTGACAGTGAAACACAAGAGGTGGGGATGTGATGGTATGGAGCTGTAAAGGGCAAAAGTTGTTGGGGAGATGACATTTATAGATGAATGCCTGTGAATATACCAACATCTCAGTCTGCAGAAGCTTGACAGGAAAGGAATATTCCAGCATGATAACAATTCGAGGCACACTGCCAAAATCACACAGGAGGAAGGCAAAAAAATGAAAACTACGACTTGGCCAAGTATGTCAGCTGCCTTGAATCCAGTAGAACACCTTTGGGGTATCTTAAAGGGAAAGGTGGAGCAACACAACCTCTCCAGCAAAGAAAAAAACAGAAAATCTCTCCAGAAATTTGTGCAGCATTGGTATCCTGTATGCCAAAGAAGATTGAGTCTGTCATCAAAAATAAAGGTGGACATACAAAATATTGATGTGTCTTCCATATATTTTGAACTGTGCGGCATCTTTAGTATCGTAAAACCACACTTTTATGAATTTTACGGAACCTTCCAATGCAATTTTCAATCATCTAAGCGACATTAAACACACTATTTGAACAAAACAGGCAGTTATTTCTGGTCTCACATTTAAAATGTTCGCTATAATAACCGAACAAGGTCATCATATTTCAAACATGCGCAACATCCTTCCCAAAGATGCCTTAAAAACTGATTAATACTGATTAATTATCCAGAAAAAAAAAATCCTCAAGCCTCTCTGATGAAGGGATTTGCTGCTTTTCTGTCTTTCACATCACTGAAAAGGATCATGAGCAGTTTGAAGATGTCATCTTGGGTACGAGGATTTTTCTTTTTTTTTTCTCCACCATTTCATAATTAATCCATAATTAGTGACGGTAAAATTGGCAGTTTTTAAAAATAGCTTCATCATTGGTCTCCATATAATCACATCACGCGCTAGTGGGAATAGTCGTGGCATAGTTGTACCGTGCTGGAGCTAATCAATGTATCACTTATCTGTTTCCTATAATAACATCCGAACACCCCTCAGTGCAACAGATTAGTGGAGCTGATTGCGGCATCGATGCTAAATAAAGGTCAGAGTTGTAAATATTCCATTTAAGTGTGCAAAGCTTACAAGCTGAACGCATTAAATATTGTATGAATCGGCTCTTGACTAGAAAAAAAACAGTTGAAATCTGCAGAAAGCAAACATCGGCAACAACAGTCCAAAGAAATGCCCGCCGAGAGAGAGAAAATCCTCAGTGATGGAAAAGTGCTCTGTATTTGCAACTATTGTTATTTCTCTCCATGATGGGCGAATAAGTGTTGCCCCTTAATTTGGTTCTGAATGGCGGAGACTGGCGACAAAGCAACAGTGGGCTACTCATCCAAATCAAATCTCATGGGTCTACTTTCTGCGCGATTACACAATAACTCTGAGCTGACTGATTGTCTACCTCCAGAAAATGCTGCCAACGTCACTGAATAGAGAATTGTTGGATTGGTGCTGCCCGGTTCTATTCACGGCAGCCGCCACAGCAAAAGGGGGGGAGAGTGTTAATGGTGTTGAATAGTAATGGCCAAACCCTCTTAGAGTTGAGCGAGTGAAACACAAGGAAACCTGTGCTGAATGTAACTGCTTCAGAGCACATTATTCGTCCCTTTTTATTTTTTTTCGGTCGGTGTAAAAAAATGTCCTAAATCACTTGTGTGTAGGGTAAAATGTGAATGTTTCTGTGGACTCTTCTGAATCCTAAAAAAGATTACACTGCTATCTTTGAAGAAGATATGTTTCAAAGTTCCCCTTGTTCTGAAACAGTTATGGGCTCCAAGGCAGCAGCTTTGCCTTTTTCCTTCCTGCCTGGCCACAGACAACCTTCATGTTAATGAAAACGTCGAGGAAGCCAGAAATTTTGACCACATTATGGAACTCATAAATCAAACAATTGTCTACCTCCACCATCAGGCAAGTGGAAAAGGAAGATAGCACGAGTCCCTTACTTTTCCCCTCCTTTTTTTATCTTAGCTGCCTTTTCCCTTTCCTCAATCTTCCTGTGCTGAATTACTGTCCATTCTCTTTCGTCTCACTCGCTGCTCTTTCACGTTTTTCAGAAAGAAGGACTTGTGAGGGCCGAAGAGTTATGGATTCACCAATTGCACCTAATGGCTTAGTGTCCCCGAGAGGAGAATAGAGAAATAATTTAACATATAAAGCGAAGCAAAGGGGGCCCCATACTGCTAGACGACGCTCTGTGGACCGAGGACCAGTGCTCTTTTGGCCGGAGATGAGAGACTTCATTAAAAATCAACAGGGGAGGACTTTCACACAGCTTTGCTCTTGCCTACAGGGTTCCAGAAAATGTTATTTACCCTGTTATTTTACAGAGACACTGCTGGAAAAATATAATACCAAAAATGTTGGCAGAGCTTCTTGTGAAATCTCGCTGTAGTTTATGGCAAACACAATAAAAACAGCAATTTACATCGGTCGCAATGAAGCGAGAAGTGATGCGGGTAGTGCAGGCTTAGAAAAACTCACCTTAAAACGCAGGAATAGTATCCCACATCGTCCAACTCTGCCGGTCGGAACCATATGGCGTCCTCTTCTTTGCTCATCCTTGTGCCGTCGAAACTGATTGGTTCCTCGAAGTCCCCGTGGCCCGCGCTTTTGTACCACATAAGGCTAAGTCCTGTGCTCTGCGCATGGGTGTAGTTGGCCCGGATATATCCATAGAATAAAGCGCACTTAATCCGTACAGGTTCCCCCAGAAGCACTTTGTATTTCAGGTAGTCCACTGACCAATCTGTGCAGCCTTCCACTGGAAGAGAAGGACAAGAGAAAGAGAAGAGAAGGGGAAATTAAACAGGGAGATTGTTTTGAGGCCAATTTGCATCATCACCAAGCACAGCGGAGGGGATTTGTACTCATGAAAAGGCTTCGTGGCAACCGGGAGCCAGCAGTCGTTGTATCACAATCAATCAAGACGCTCTTTTTCCTCCATGCAGCACTAATTGTTTCAACTTCTCCTCTTCGTGCTTCACGGGAACACGCAAACCGAATGTGGCTATTAATACGTGTGCACACATTTAACATAAGACTTCCTCGGCGTGCCAAAATCAATTCATAGCAATTTTTAAAATAAACACAGAGAGCAAGCGAACGTTCTTGTTGTGCTGGTGAAGTGTTTTATTGCCACAATATCCTCTTCAATGTAAGACTAAACTCTCAACATAGCAATTGTCAGATACAATCTTTACCCCCTGCCTTCACCTACAAACATTACTGTATTTATATTTAACTTGTGCCTCAACTCATACATAAATTGATTTTACCGGCAATAAACTCTGTATAAACCACCATCAATATCCGTTTAAATGGCAGTGATAGCACTCAACTACATTTGACCTGAGAAAATTAGAAGCTGCCGTAAGTCTGTATTCATTTCCTAAAGCTATCAGGATATCCTCGGCTCTCGAATGCCGGCGCATAAATGGAAAAAGTAACTCATATTGTGCCAATGCACATGCCAAGTCTCGGCAATGGGGGTCTTCCTGTTAAGACATCTAATAAAGGCCACCGACTGTCAGTGGGGACAAAAGTTATGAAGATTGAATAATAACTGAATTATTCATGCAGCGCAGGTATAGGCCTGGTTTGGATTCACACCCTTATTTTCCATCTTTAGGTGTATATGAGATTCATGAGCAACACAAGGTATTAAACTGACACTTAATCCCTGCTTTTGCACACCAGTGAAAACTCACACAGTCAACACCAGCTCCTGAGTTGGTGATTGAGGTTTTCACACGTAATGAGTTGTGTAAAAGGACAGAGGGACTGCAAGTGCGTATCAAGCAAGCAACGCATTTTGGTGTTTTTTGATGATTGGAAAACACCTGCTGTGGTCGGACTGTTTTATCAAATGAACAAACTATGAGGTGCGATCAAAAAGTTCAAGCACTTTTTACGTGACCTGTGTTACATGTGACCGCTGGTAGATTCCCGTTTGGAATTCCAGCAAAAAGATCACATTCTGTGTTAATTAGCAGCCCAGGATGTGGCAACCCTTATGTCGAGGATCATCACCAGGGATGAGATGTGGCTCTGCAGCTGCCATCAAGACAGTCATTTCAGGAGCGCAACAGGAGCACCCCTGGCTGTTTTCGTCAAAATCAACGGGGTTGCATTGAATTAGTCCCCCAGTGTCAACGTGTTGTTGACTTTGGTGCAATGGCTTGTTGGTGCTCTTGGTCACAGCGCGTTTGATTCCACACGGGGTTTTCCGGCCACTGCAGCACAATCATTGCTCCCCACCTGCTTTGTTCTCTCTAGATTTGGCCCCCTGTGACTTCTTCCTTTTCCCCAAAAAAATGAAATTCAAATTGAAGGTTTTGACACAGTTTAAGACATTCAGGGCCGTTTGTAGCTTGACATTCTCACACAATGAGACTTCCAGGAAGTGTTATGGGCATGCATGGCTGCGTGAGGAGACGACTTCAACGGGGAGGGAGGCCAAATGTAAATCAGGTTTTGGAACTTTCTCGGCACAGAGTCAGAACTTTTTCCACGGCACCTTGTACTCTTTATTTTATTTAAGTGTACAGCGTGTAAAACTATTCTTACACGAACCTTCTTTGCAGAGAATATTCAAGCCTTTATTTATTTATAGCAGCACTGAATATTGTACATATTGTTGTTGCATATCTTATGAGATCAAAGCTACTGAACTTGCAGACAAAATGTTCTATATACGGAAGCTAAACCTTCATCAAAACTTTCTCGGCTCTTTTGAGACACTAACAAACCACTTGTCTTATATGTAAGAAACAACAACAGTCCACAATGACTAAAAAAAAAACAACTTGCTTCACCTTTCCTTCTCCATTTTTCCCCTCCCTGTTCCTGACATCCTTGTTTCCCCGGCTTCACTCCGCTGCCTCGCGCTTCCTTTAAAAACAGCTGGCGAGCACAGCTGTCTCAGACTCAACAGGCTTCGCTAATTGAGCTTCTATAAATGTTTTATTTACCAAAGAAGCAACTCGCCCGCCAATCAGCGAGGTGTGGTGCGTGCGGCGGTTGTTGGGGGCAACTGTGGTGGGGAATCGATTAACCATGCTGATTTACGTTCTTGTACTGTATTGTGTGGGGCTGCAAGGATCACGCTGAGAACAGCAGCAGCAACAACAGTGGTGGGGGGAAAAGCATTTCAAGGGAACAGTGAAAAATGACGGCGGCATAATGTCACACAGATATTTCCAGGGCAGCGGCGGCGGAGTTTAATAGCATAAGATCCATCAGTTACCGAAAACTTGCAGAAAGTTGCAGTTGTGTCAGAGTCAAAGGGCAAAGCTCAATAGTTAAAAATTGGGGGAGAAATAGAGGGCTGAAGAGGCAGAAATACCAATTTCACCACAAAAATAGCTAGTATATCAGAAAGTGATGTGATTTTAAAGATCCCCTCCAGGCGTGTTTGAAGATATATTCTGCTCTGAATAAAAATGTGTCTGGTGTCTGATTTTTTTTTTTTTCATGAAAAAGTTCAATTACCTTGTTATATATTCCTCTGACAGATACACCTTTCTTGACAAATCCGGAATAAGTAAATTTGTAAACATTTTTCCATTTCCAAAGTGCAACTGCCGGACACATGATGCCTCCAACGACGCCGGAAGATCTCAGTTTATGAACTCCGGCACAGAAAAAAAAAAAAACTTGAGTGTTTAGGAAAGAGGAGCTAACGCAGGCTCAGTTGGTCATTTTTGCCCTGGGCGCTTTAGGAGTTTAATCTTTCCACGCTTGATTTGCTTGCTTGATAGGTGATTCATTTCTGTTCATGAGCTAATTGGTATGCGGTTCAGCAACAGTTCACTTCATCTATGTTGTCTTGAGGTTGTTGAAACAGAATAGGAAATAGAAACTCGGTTTAGCAGATGAAGAAGGTGAAAGAAAACCGGGTGAAACAACTGAAAATAAAAAGGCACCACTTCAACCCAAATACGTGAGGGTAACCTGTATGTCCTTCACGTGCATTTAATTGTCCTGTTATTTCACTTTCAGGCTGATTTGACTGTTCATTTCAGCTACATCAGCAGCGCTGCCAAATCTGCAGCCCCTTCCTGATCCGTCTTGATCCCGAATCAGCAACAATAAGTTGCTGTTTTCATTTGATAAGCCTGAAAACACTGCGATCGCACGCGGCGCTTTGACACGACCCTCTCAACCTCTTTTTGATTTCTTCAATGAAACGTGTCTTCCCGTGAGCGAGACAATGAAAAATACAGCCTGAACTGTACAAAGAGCGACTAACTGGAAACAAAATGCAGCAAACGCCTGAGTAGGTATGTGCTCTGTGAGCTGCCCAACAGCACCGTTCTTTCATTGTGATTAAGTCTAACTGTTGCTATGGCAACAAAGGGTCTACCCTCGCTTATCGAGAATTTGCTAATTAGTTTGTGGACGATAATAACTTGAAGGCTTAAGGTAAGACAACCACAGCCAAGATGGTTTCACTTCTAATCATGTGTCCTAATTGAGACTCTGAAGTGTTTTACTCTCCCAGCTAATAAAAACAGCGGGAGGGTGGAAAAGGTCATACAAGCAGGCGGCAACTACAACACATTGGATTAGTTTGGCAAAGAATGTATGAAGAATTAGATTATGCTACTGACATTTCTCTCTTAGGCTTATACACAGAAAAAAACACGCACATATAAATAAAATTCATGGTCTCCAACTCTAAGACATGAGCTTCCTTGAGAAATTTTGGTTTGACTTTTCGAAAGCATTGACAATAATGCATTTTTTTGCAGTGCTTTTCTGTTTTTCTGTATCTTCACCATCATGGATCATGTGTAAAATTATGCTTTTCTTGATGTTTGATTCATGCACAAGGGCGGTTCATCAGATACCGACATCCGTGCTGCTCGTGTCATCACAATCGAAGCATAGCAACACACTACGAGAAAATTCCCTCTCGGAAAAATAATCTTTTTTTCACGGCGTCAAACAAAGCAGAAGAAAAAGAGAAAAACTTTCCCACTCAGTCTGCCGCCCGATCGCCATTAATCATTTCTCTGTTTTATAACCAGCATACAGACACACCAAAACAGAAAACAAGGCAGCTTACTTGCAAAATTTACCAAAAAATCTAAGCCAGTCGTCTCTGAAGAGCGTGCCAGAGGCTGCTGGGCTGCAAACGCCAGCACTGATCGGAGTAATGACAAGCTACTTCAAGTGCTTATAAATGTTGCAGCCTGTTTCTGATGACAAGAAAGTCACGGCATGTCATGACTTTGTCTATAATCACACGAGCAGTTCTGTTCTGTCCACTTACAAATATGTTCTATTTACAGGTACTTTTGACCTGACATTGGCACTAGATGGAAGTTAGAAGATCACTACAATCATTGCAATTCTTCCTCTGGGAACCATAAATGTCTTCACCAAGAGTCGCTGCAATCCTCGTGATTGCTGCTCCAACATTTCACTCAAAAACACAAAGGTAAATCTCACGCTGGGGCAAGAGAAGAAGCCAAGGGTTTGCCAGAATCATTAGAATACTAGATCTGTGCACTTCGGATGTCACATGAGTGATGGGCCAACTTAACAGCGGGGAATAAAGTACTCAAGCCGGACAATGTCATGGGATGTAATGAAGGAGTTACTTGATTTTCTCGAAATAAAATGTAGACAGAGAGCACAATAGAATGATGGTTTACTTGAATAGCACATAGGGGAGAATCAGTACAGTTTTAACTTATGAATGAAATGAAACTGTTCAGTAGAATGTTTAATTGTGTATTTGATGCAAACTGTAAT